CTCTTTGATTTATCCGAAGGAAAAGGTCAAAAGAGGGAAAACCTATTTTTGCATCGTAAACACAATGCGGGGAAAGATCTAGGGTTCGGGGGTTGGTTAAATTTAGGGAAGGTATTAGCACCCTAAACTTCTGTAGTACTCTACAGGAACCTTTTGTTCAGATGTTTACTATTTGCTTTATTTATTTGCTTAAGATATATGTACAAAAGATTAAAAGTGAGAAAAGAGACCTAAGGGGTTAATTCTAAGTTTACTCGGCAAGACATCGCATCTTGTGCCTACGTATCCTTACGGGAGTGGAATCAGAGTAATCGTAGTTCCCCTCAAAAGGGAGGTTAGAGACTTCTTGACTGTGGTCAAGGTCTCAAGGGGAATAAACGCATCTTAAGGACACGCTTACGTGGAGTGTGGAAACTCCAACTCTCTACGTTGAATTGTTAAGTTGTAATTAGGGTTAAATTAGGTTAGGGATTCCGCGGCGGGAAACCCTAAAATGAGCGCGGCGGCTCTTTGACCTAATGCTAGGGGTAAAGTTGTAATTTTGCCTGCGGCGAGGCATTTGTGAAAATTTAGGGTTGAAAAGGTGTAAGGGTTGAAGGTGAGGACTATTGACACGGCGGTCAAACGCTAGACCTATCCTTCGGCTGTGTGTGGTGACAGATTAATAACGATGAAAGTGTGAGAAATTTTAAATCATACATCAGCAGAATTTTAAATGCGGAAACGTAAGCACGATTATTAGGGTTCGCGAGGTTACAACCGGGAAGCAGTTACAAAAAAATGAAACTTAAATAAAACACCACGCAAGAGTAGAGCTGCAAAAGATGAACACCATTAGTAAACAAAGCTAGCCAGTAATTGGGCAAGAATACAATACTGAAGGTTTTTATTGTTCTTAAAGGAAAGATGTTAATTAAAATTATAAAAGAAAGAGCAATGTTTAACTTTTAAAATATTTTAAACTTAATCTAAAAACTTTAACTTATATATTTTAAAATGATTTTTAAATTATTTATTTTGAAAAAGATTTTTTTTATTATATATATAAAAAATTTATTTGCGTTATTTATTTTAAAAGAGCTTTTTAACTTTATTATAAAAAGAAGTTTTTCTTTAATTTATTTATAAAAAGGTTTTTTTTATTTTTTTTTTATCATAAAATAATATGGGTTTTTTAAAAAACAACTTAAAAACAAATTAAAGGTTAAAAACAGATTTTTAAAAAAACAAAAAACACAAAAAAAAAAAAAGAGGGTTGGGCCGGTCATCACCCCGGACCCAACCTGGTGGAAGTAAATGTGACAAGAACATTTTTAGGGTTTCATAACCCAAAAACCATTCGCGGCGCCGTTTTGACTTTCTTCTTCATCTCTCTCGATTGCTTCTGTCTCTCGTATTCAGTTTGCTGCGATTCTCCCATCTTCCTCATTCTTTCGCTTTGCTCATCTTTCGGTAACCTGAAACCAAACATAAACATTTGAGGAAAACATTTCATGGCTTACATTTACGACGGAGTTACGGTGAAAACGGCCGATGATGAAGTGAGCTGAGGCTTAGAGCTTCGATTGCCCGCCGTTGATGAATGGTGAAGGCGGTCTTGCTCGCGGTTGATTAGTTTCAATCTCTCTCCCTCTCGCGGTTACTAGGGTTTGACATGCGATTGTCCGTTAGGGTTTTCTCTCATTCGTTAGCGTTCTTTTCTCTGAGGTGAAATCATCCCTTTTTATATACTTTTTTTCAATCATTCTTTTGGGCCTTTGATCTGATTTGCTGCTCTTTTTCTGAGATATGATTTTGAGACATGATTTGATTTTTGTGGATTTGTGAACCTGATACTATTTCGATTTGATTGGGATTCTGTCCATTTTCGATTTGCCTATATCCTCCTTTTGGACTTTGAACGGTTGTACTCTGATTTGGATTTCGTTGGGTTTGCTTTGATTTGCTTGATTACTTTTCTGATTAGATCTTTTCTTTCCCTTTCAGACTTACGGACTCAAATTCCCAGTATTTGATTGAATACGGATTTGGAAATTGCTTGTATCCATATTCAAATTTGGTTTTGTTGGATATCTGTTTCGTTTTGGTTAACTGGATTATTTATTTCTGATTCCATTTGAACTGCTTCATGATGAACTGAATCATTCTTCTCTGATTTACTCTAACTCAATTCTTCTGATAGGGACCGTTTTGATACTATGGGCATCGTTTTTACTGATGTGGTTCTTTTGTTGCAGATTTTCAGCAGACTAACTTTGGTTACCCAATTTTCAATGTCGCTGTGGGTTTATTGGTTTTGGTCCTAATTTGATATCACTGAGTTTCGAATCTGGCGTAGACTGATACGGCTATAGTGTTGGATCCTTTTGATGTGCTTTTGAACTGCTATTGTGCTGTCTTGCTATCGTTAAAATGCACTGACCATTGTCGCCGTGTGCAGAAGCTTGCCATACTTGTTGATGCAGATGTTGATGTTGTGGTGTTAATGGTTGCTCTTGAAATTGTTTGGCAGATGCTAACTAGCTCGTCTTACTTGTAATCGATGTCTGCAGGTATTGGAATGATGTTGCTTGCTGTGTTGGAGTTGGTGCCATTTGCAATTGGTATCTGTTGTTGTTATTGCTCGTAGCTTGGAGATTTGCTTCTGAAACGGTGATGATGATTCGTGAATCTGAACCGTCGTTGGCGGTCATTGTTGCAATGTCGGTATTTATGAGTGATGCTTGTTGCCGAAGCTGTGATGCTTATAGCTGATGCTAATTTGTTGTTTGCTGGTAGAAACTCGTGTTGCTTCTCTTTGCTTGTTGTGACTGATGTTGGTTCTGCCTGTTGGAGGTCGATTGTAGCCTTGAACTTGTTAGTTTGTTGCAACTTGAAGTTGTTTGGGCTGATGCCGCTGTTACTGATTTCTTTGTGACGAGATATTGGGTTGTTTGATTTTAGATACTGCTAACATTGTAACTTATCTGCTTTGATCTTGAACCAAGTTTGATGGCCTGACATTCAGATTATTGTTGTTGGCTTTTGTTGTCTGATAACAGGGCTTATGTGTTGCGTGCCGTTGAAACTGGTTCGGTTTTCGTGACGGTCTGATTTTTGAGCATGTTGCTAAACCATGTTTGATGCTGTTGTGCTTCTTTGGAGCCTGCTGAGTGTTATGACAGATTGGTAGGACCTTTGCACATGAACTTGCATCGTTTGATGGTTTATTTTCTTTTTGTGCAACTTGATGCCATAGTTTGGCTTCTCTTGTTCTATTTCGAACTTGATTTTCATTCTGCTGGACCCTGGGTCTTCATTCTGTTTGGTACAGATTTGTTTCCTTTGGTGGCTATTCATACCTGTATTGGCGCGAGCCCCTTCCTGGTTTTGTTTATGCTGATGACGCTTGTGGCTTTTCAGGTGTTGGAAGTTTTGAAACCAAGGTGACTCAGACCTGCCGGCATCCGGGTTTGAGTCAAAACTTGCCTATGTTGCCTTATTCTCGTATCAGTCTGGAAATCCAATCGCGGCAAAACGAATCAGCCCCACTTCTTTTATTTTTTCTATCTCTCGGATGTCCCGTATCGATAAGAACAAGCATTACCTGATCTGACGCCCACGGCGCGGATCGGTAACGGGGGTAGGACGCAGCTTCGGTTGTGCCACTCCCGGCACTCGATGATGACATTGTTCTGAGAGTGTCAAGAAACTTCTAACCTTTTTTCTATATTGTTTGTTTTTCTATTTTTTTCAGGTGATCAAGAGTTGCGTGAAGAACTCAAGGGAGGACCAATGAAGAAAACTTGTAGTTTTTTCTCTTTTTAGGACTTTAGGACCTGGAATAGATACTTATTGTAAATGTATAATCCTTTTGTAAATGAAAGATCATCATGAATAAAATCCAAAAATTACTTCCATTTCAACTTGTAATTCTAGATGTTTATGAAATAAAATCCAGTAAATATTCATTTCTATTTTCTCAATTATGAATTTAAATATCCATGAATAATCATCCATAAATTATTTAAATTCAACTTTGATTTGTAGCTTATGAACATTCATGAATAAAAGCTCACAACTATTAAAACTTAACCTCTCCTTTGCCTTTTATAAATGATATCCCGCCATATGATTATATCCAAACAAATTCACATTAAAACCTCGTTGATCACATCACTTCTCAAAATAACCTTAACAGTATCCACTTCCTTTTCAACCCAACTTTATAAAAGGAAACAAAACTGTTTGGAAATGTTTCAGAATCAAACAAAGCACGGCCCCGAGTCCAATCATATTTCTGACAAAACATACTGGCACCTTGACCCAAATGGCAAATAAATGCCTCAGAACGTAATAACAGCCCGTTTTCAAGAAATTAGCAGAATTTGCGTGAAATGACCAAAATACCCCTGGGACCAAATCTGCAAAACAGACACCTCCATGACTTGTTAGTGGTTAGCAAATGTTCATAGGAGATGATATGCGAAATGCCTGACTAAATGTAAGGGTAAAATTTGGGGTATTACAGATAGCATTGGTGACCATTTCACATGGTCCAACAAACAAGCAGCTGGACCAATCTATTCCAGGATTGACAGAATTTTGGGTAATACTGATTGGTTTCTCAACAATATGAATAATATGCTGAAAATTCTCCCACCTAGTATCTCTGACCATGCCATGCTTTATCTGGAGGATAAACATATGCAGAGGAAACCTCCCAAGCACTTCATGTTTAGCAACTGCATTACTGAGCTTCCAGGTTATGAGACTGTGATAAAGAAGAACTGGGATGCTCATATCAGGGGCAGACCAATGTATGTTTTGTGGCATAAACTCCGGAGACTGAAACATGATCTAAAACAGCTCAGTAAACCTCTGTCTGATATTAAGAACAAGTTGATAGCAGCTAGGGAAAAGCTTAAAGAAACTCAAGGGAAGCTGAATGAGGACAGATTGAACAGCACACTGATTAAGGAAAAAAAAAGCTGACAGAGGATGTGATTACCATGAATGAGATGGAATGGAAAATTTTGCAGCAAAGGGCGAAAACTGACTGGGTCAAAAAAGGAGATGGAAACAACCATTACTTTTACGCTGCTATCAAAAGCAGACAACATTCCAACTTCCTTGCCAACCTTAGGAACAGTGATGGCAAGCTGATATATAAAAAATCAGAAATTGAGGAGCAAGTGCTTAATTTCTACAGAAACCTAATGGGCAAGGATGTTAGCAGCCTTGACCACATTGATGTGGAAGCCATGAGAATGGGAAAGCAGCTGAACCTGGACCAAAGGAATTACCTCATCAGAAACATTTCTGAAGCTGACATCACCAAAGCCCTTAAAGGGATAGGAGACCTTAAAACCCCAGGGATGGATGGGTATGGTGCTAAATTCTTCAAAGCCAGTTGAAACACTATAAGAACTGATGTGATTGCAGCAGTTCAGGAGTTCTTTGAAACAGGTAGAATCTACAAGGCCTTCAACACTGCTGTCGTATCTCTGATCCCTAAAGACCACAATGCTTGTGAAATCAAAGATTATAGACCTATAGAAATGTGTACAACTTTTTACAAGATCATCTCCAAGATTTTGACTGAAAGACTTGGTTCTGTTCTTCCTAGTGTGGTTAGCCAGAACCAGGCAGCTTTTGTGCCATGCCAAAACATTCATAATCACATCATGCTTGCAACTGAGCTCCTTAAGGGTTACACCAGTAAAGGGGTCACACCTAGAATCATGTTACAAATTGATCTGCAAAAAGCCTATGATATGGTCAACTGAACTGCTTTGGAATGTATCATGAAGGAAATGGGATTCCCTAACAAATTCATTCAGTGGACTATGCTAGGCGTCACCACGGTTTCCTATAGATTTAGCATAATGGGGGAGTACACTGATACTTTACAGGCCAAAAGAGGGATCCGACAGGGTGATCCTCTATCCCCTATGCTCTTTGTCCTCATGATGGAGTACATGAATAGGTTGCTGGTGAAAATGCAGAAAGACCCAAATTTCAACTACCATGCCAAATGTGAGAGGCTGCAAATCGCAAACCTCACTTTTGCAGATGATGTTTTGTTGTTCTGTCGAGGAGATGACATGTCTTTGCAGTTGATGTTAAATACTTTCAAGAAGTTCTCCAATTCCACGGGGTTGATAATGAACCCTAACAAATGCAAATTATACTGTGGGGGTTTAGATCTTGTGAGTAGACAAAAGTTGAAGGTCCTGTCGGGTTTCCAAGCAGGTGCGCTGCCGTTCAAATATCTAGGCATCCCTGTGTCAAGTAAGAAACTGACCATTAACCACTTCTTGCCTCTGGTGGATAAAATTGTGGCTCGAATTCATCATTGGTCATCTAGACTCCTCAGCTATGCCGGTAGAATTCAGCTAGTCAAAAGTATTGCGGCCGCAACGGTTCACTACTGGATGTAATGCCTCCCTTTGCCTAAAGTTGTGATTAGGAAAATAGATTCCATTTTCCATAGCTTCATTTGGACCGGTAAGGATTCTATTAGCAGAAAGTGTCCCGTGGCTTGGAATCGCACTTGCTGCCCGACAGCTCAGGGTGGTTTAAATCTGTTGAATCTGCAGGTTTGGAACAAGGTGCTGCTCCTGAAGTGTCTTTGGAATCTCTGCAGGAAAACTGATAATTTGTGGGTTAAATGGATCCATACTCATTACCTGAAGGATAAAAGTGTGATGAATTACGAAACCAAAGCTCACAACTCTTGGATTATGCGAGGTGTTTTGAAACATCGAGATAACATGGGTGAAATCCGGAATGATTAGGATCAAATCGTGAACGCACAGAAGTTTAAAGCCTCGATTCTTTATAAGGGGATGATTGATGATGGCACAAGGGTTCAGTGACGTAATCTGGTGCAGTTCAACAAAGGGCGATTGCGTGCAGTTTTTTGTTTATGGCAGGTTTGCCATGGAAAGCTTGCGACCAAAGACAGGTTGAAACACTTTGGGATGCTTGAGGACAGCAGCTGTAACTTATGTCATACCGAGGAAGAAACGATGAATCATCTGTTTTTCTCTTGTCAAGTGACCAGTCACATATGGAAGGAAATGCTCGATTGGTTTAACATCTCTCATGACCCTCAACCGTGGGATGCTGAGATGATTTGGCTCACCAAGTTAACAAAGGGAAAGGGCTGGAAAGCTGAAATTTTGAGGATGTTAGCCGCTGAAACTATATACAACATCTGGGGATATAGGAATGACAAAACTTTTGGCAACACTGTAGATAATACAACCATGGTATCTGATCTGACCTGATCAGGAGGGATCACGGACTGGCCACACTCCGTTGGGCTGTTATCTGTTTGCCGGGGTGAGAAAGAGGAGGGGGGTGTACCTGCAAAGCACTCCGACGCCCAAGTAAGAAGTTGGACAGAGAGGAAGCAATAGTACAGAAAAAAGGGCAAGAAGAGTTACCTGACCCTCTTGAAGAAGAGGGTATTTATAGAGAGACCCCAGCGCTGGGCCAACGGTCATTCGAGGTGGGCCGGACGACCAGGCCCAACCCTAATGACTGCTAGGGCTTACGTGGCGTAGTGAAGACCAGGACGTGGTCTTCGCCCTAGTTCAACCGCTCCTAGGTCTCCGGAAAGTGGGTTTGACCTGCTCTTTCGGAGGTGGGCGGTTGGCCGATGACGTGTCCCCGCGGAGGGGAGCACGTGGAGAACGTGCGCCGAGCACGTTATTCTCCCCGCGGAGGGGAGCCCGGGTGGTCCTGCTCGTCCGTCGTGACGGACGACAAAAAAGGACGTGGAGATGTAGCTTGTGCCCGGCGGCCAGTCCTGCTCGTTCGAAGGGCGCGTGCCAGGCGTGCCCAGTTCGCTTGTTGGGCCGCATGTGGTATTGGGCCTGCCGAGGTGAGGCCCATACCGGAACAGGAGCCCCCCAAGTCGAAGCTCTGGGGAAGAGAGAGGACTTAAGGTCGTCGTGTCTGGAGCGGGGACTTGCACGAAGGGCTCCGGTCGTCGGCAGAACGGGGAGGAGGCAGGTGAAGGGACGCGACTGTCAGGTTACCGCCACGTGTCTTGTGTTAAGTGGTTGTAGGGGCGGCTAACCTATGTCATTAATGAGCCTAGGGTCGCTTCGAGTCCCGCGCCGGGTTATAAATATGGCGGTCCTCGCTCATTCTGTTACTTTTCTCCCTGCTAATCTTTTATCGTCTCTGCTCGTCCGCCGCTTGCCGCCGATCGCCGCCGTACCGTTTGCTCTTTTCTTCCGTCCGCCGCCGTTACAAGTGAGTTCCTCTTTTCCCTCTCTTTTTATTTCCGTCGTCTAACTGGAACGTGTGGTCGGGGCGGGATGAACGCCCCGAGGAGGGACGCGGGTCCCGCCGCGTCTGGCGAGTTTTCCGATGAATGTCCCAGGGACGGTAGGCTAGTTCCGATGAATGCCCCGAGGACGGGAGCTTTTTCTGATGAATGCCCCGAGGACGGGGGCTTTTCTCCGATGAATGCCCCGAGGACGGGGGCTTTTTCTGATGAATGCCCCGGGGAGAAGTACCTTCTCCGACGACCGTCCCGAAGGGGGTGAGGGGTCGTTCTTCGATCCCCGAGGAGGGTAGACGGGGAGCGAGTGTCTGCTCGTCGCTCCTCGGCCTTTGTCGCCCTTTCACTTGACTTGCGGTGGAAGGGTGGATTTGATCCTGGCTATCGAATTCACCGATGTCCTCTGCTTTCAGGTGTAGATGTCGGCTCTGGTGCCGGGGATAATGGTTGAAGATAATGAACCCGAGGTCCCGGAGTATGACGACGAGCGTATCGCCCCGTCCGAGGAGTGGGCGGCCGAGGAGCCACTTTCCATCCCCTCTTGCTTTGTGGCCGACTCGTCCGACGTGTATGCCACGGTCGAGGACACGCCGATAGGAGAAACGCAACACTGGCAGGTGTACCGCCCGAAAGAGCATCACCGGATCTGTTCGCGATATGGGCGGAAGATGTTCCCGATGTATGAATTTTATTTTAAAGAAGCTCGGCTCCGGTTACCGTTTTCCGCCTTCCATTTGGGGCTTTTTGACTGGCTGCGTCTTGCCCCGTCTCAGCTGCACCCAAACGCTTTGGCTTTCATCCGGGCTTTCGAGGTGGTGTGTTTCTACCTCTCGGTGGAGCCGACGGTGCCGTTATTTTTCCGCATCTTCCATTTGCAGCGGCAGACGGTGCGAGGTCGCCACGGATGGGTCTCTTTCAAACAATCAACCAAAATTTTCAAAGCGTATAGCGATTCTGTCAAAGACCTCAAAGGTCGGTTCTACCTCGTCAAACCGATCACGCAGCACGGCTCAGACACTCTCTTTGACGAGGGCGAGCGCACGGTAGATGGCCAGCGGTTCCGCGCGTGGCTTCCTAAGATACATCTACTGTGGACTGCGGAGCATTTCAGTCGAGGGACGGATAGGTATATCGTCCGGGCGGGGACCCTCGAGGAGAAGGACATGGCCGCTTATTTGAAAATAATTGCCTTTGTGCGGTCACTCCCCCCGTCGAAGCTGGTGACGCCCGACGGTCGGTACATCCTCGACGCCCAGGGGAACATACGTACCAAGAAGCGTTTGATAAATACTAAGACTTTGCTCGGTTGCGCGACCGGGGCGGCCGCCCTGGATTATCTAGGTAGGGATGTTTGTTTTCCCTCGTGGTCGGGGTTTTTGATCGTCACTAACCTATTTCTTTGTTTTTGCAGCGAACATGTCTACTGTCGACGAGCGGGTGAAGCAGTTGCGCGCTGCCAGGAATGCCGTGGCCCCGAGGACGAGGGTGAGTCAGCTGGTCGGTCAGGAGGTCGCGACGCACGGGGGGCAAACTTCGTCCTCGTCACCTCAAGAGAGCCAATCCCCTGTGTCTCAAGGAGTGTCGAAGAGGCAAAGGTCCGAGGAGCCTCGGGTGGTGGATCTGACGGTCGGCGCCGTCGAGGAAGGTTATGTCGTCCCTCCCTGCCACCAGCACCCGGGATATTTTCATGGTGCCCGTTCCCCCACTGTTTCCGCCGGGGAGGTGAAGGCTGTTCGCCAGGCTGATCGGGAGACCCGTCGACGTGTCCTGGCTGAGGACTTGGCCGCGATGATGCGGACGTTTACGACGGCTCTCGTGCTGAACGAGGAGGGCTGCTCCGCTGCTGAGCTGTCCAAACTGCAAGGGGATCTCACTTTCACACAGTCGCGGTTGGCCAAGCTCACTGAGGAGTTGGAGAAGAGCCAGAAGGATGCTGCCGAGCAGCGGAAACGGGCAGAGGGCGCTGAGGGGAAGGTGACTTCGCTGGAGGAGAAGCTGGGGACAGCGACGGCCGAGGTGCAGGCGCTGAAGGTTCGCACGGAGGTTTTGGACAGCGCTGTTCGTCCGGCCGAGGACGAGACTGATGGGGATCGACGGCTAATCACCCGTGCTGAC